GCGCTCGCCCAGCCAACGCACGCGCGGCAGAATAAACACCTAACGACATATTTTACCTCGTAACCCAAGCTAGTTTCACTCGAGTAGATAAAAAGAAAACAATAAAGCCTTTTCTGGTTTAAATATTTTTAACAGCACAAATCGCAAAATCTTGTCGTCAAACATAAAAACCAGTAAATAAAAAAACACTAAGTATCAAAGTAAAAATATTCTAAGTGCGAAATATCTATAAACATTTTTGAATTGATGTATCAGAAAAACTTTACTATGTGAAAGTAATAGAGCAATATTTTTAAATAGACTAAACAAGTAATTTAAAATTTTCATCATGTTAAAGGGCATCTAGTAACTTACCTTGACAACTTCAGGTCCCAGCTCCGCTAATCCTTGTACTGCACCATACAGGGATGCAAGAGGGGTCTTCTCCGACTCCTTCATGGTAGTGACCATTGAAGGACCATTACCAGTTTCATTATTTGTTTGAGAGGGACATTGTAATGCCTTCGCAAATAACCTGAAAATGTAGGATTTTTTTTAAATAAATAAATATGTAGATATTACGAAGATCACTGTAAAGAGATTTTAAAATATATACAAAATTCTGTATATATTAACTATCTTAAAAAGTCTTAAAATTACCTTGTAACTCTTGTTTGTAGATTATTAGTAGAAGTATTAAATGTTTTGCATATCTGCGCCATAAGACGTGCTGCGAAATCCCGCAGGGCCCAGTGGTTATCCATTTCTGGTCGCAAGCATAGCTGCCGCGATACAATGCATGTCGACACTGAAGGAATTAGTTCATGTAACTGAAAAAAAAAATCCATTTTGTTAAAAACACAAAAAAAAATGGTGCGGTCCAAGAACAGTTAATAGCATTACAAATTGAACATGGATATAAAATACTTACATATTTTTCCAAGTAGAGGGATTGATTGTCTAGTAGTGCTTTAACCATCCTCATCAGGTATATAAGAAGTGCAAGATTATTTTGAACAACATTTACTTTAACTCCTTCTGAAATGAAAGTGCACATTCTCGGCAACATCTCATGTAGTCCCGGATCACATGCTAATGATTGTAAAGCTTCCTGTTAAAGACATAAAATCAATATATTTCACAATCCAAATATGTAACCCATTTAAATATAAAAAAATATTAGCAATGTCCCATTCTCAAACAACTTACCGCACGCCTGGCTTCATCGCTTCCAACACAAGCTTCCGTAATTTCTTTGTAGTAAAGTTGTTGTTCAACACTTAATTCATGAGTTGCAAGTTGTTTTACATGTACAGATTCTGAAGCTTTCAAACGAGCTGCTTTTCCGCACACCGGTTTTCCTGAATTATAAATATGAGTTTAATATTATAAGGTATAGCAAATTATTAAAATACAAGTCTTTTCAGATGTACAATAGTGAAATAAAATTTTTTTATCTATTGAAGCAGATTTAAAAGATAAAGAATTTTTAAATGTTATTTAACATTGTCAAGCAACATATACCTGCAGAGTCTTTGTTATTAGGCTTGCTTAATTTTGTAATGGGGTCAACAGATTCAAGCTTTTGAGCTTCTTTCGACAATGGAGGAGGATTTTCAGGTACCGCAGGCTGTACACCGTCAACACTTAACCAATGCGCTCTAACAGAAACATCCAATGGTATCTTTGGGGGTGGTGTTGACAGTATTTCTGATAAATCAATTTCCTTTTCTTCCACAAAGTATAATTCTCTGCCACCACCAGATGCAAAACGGAAGGGTAATGAATCAGGTTGTATGAAGCCATATTGACACTTAAACAATAAAATAAAAGTATCTAAATAAAAAAATAACACATATTGTAAGCTTATGAAGAACATTAGTAAAATCTAATTGTTTTTCCCATAAAGTAATAATTGAGAATACAATTTATTGCCTAGTGTAGTTTTTGGAAAATATGTCAATATAAAAGTCTGTTAAAATCTTACAAAGTCATTTTAATTTCCATAAATCACACAACACAATAAACATCAGTTTGAAAATGCAATTTTATGTTGAAACAGCATAAGTTGCAGAGGGATTGAAGTTTACACTAAGCAGGTGTACTTGATCCACCAAAGTGAATGGGACATTCAATGAGATGCTTGAATTTAACAATACATGCATAAAGTTCTAAGATGTGCATTTTAAAATAAGTAAACAGTTCTACATAATTATTGATATATTACAACTTTACTTAAAATAATCTTATATATGAAAGTTGCGCTGCCTATGACACACGTCTACTTGCATATTACAGCAGAAGAATTAGCACATGGTTGTACACTTATTTATATTTATACTATCCTTCAGAATAGAAACTTTTTAGCACTAACATTAAAATAAAAGAACTATTGCTCTGACAAGAGCCTAGTGTAGGAACCTGGCACTCAACCACTATTTTGTTATATTTGCATATTAATATTTAAATCTCTGTTTTTACAACAAAATATAAAATATAGCAGAACAGTTATCTGTTAAATATTCAGTAATGTATCAAGTAACATTTCAGTATCTCTTCCACACATCACTATCAGCTATTATATTGAATTAATTTCCCTCTTATGTCCTTGATAACTAACAACTCGTAAATGTTATAAATCCATTATAATTAAAAAAGAAAGTAACCTCCATGTTTTTAACTTTGAGAGCATTGTCTATATCTGTTATTGACAACTTCTGTCGTTTAGCATGATGCATGAACTTCATTGCATCTTGAACAATTATTTTAAGCCGAAATGAAACATCATCAGCCAGTTCTTTCGCAGCATCATCACCTAGATTTGCAATTCCAACATTTTCTGCAATAACTTTAATTGAGTCAACTGTTAGAGAGGACCCATAGGCTAGTTCAGAGTCACTCATTTTGAAAAATGTTTTCACTTAAATCTGAAATTAAAAATTAACAATAATAAACTACAAGGTTGTAGTGGTGATATGTATTTACTAAAACAATACTTTACTAAATCTTACAGAGTAGACATAACAACTTAAACTTCACAACTTATTTAAGTTACTTTGGTAAAGGTATAATTTTATAGTAATAGTATTGTAATATAAAATAATAAAAGTGAAAACAAGGGCACTCTTAAATGACAGAACGCCACAAAATGCTAACAAAACAAGTTGAAGGAAACATTTGACAGTTGTCAGTGGTTGTCAGTTTATGTTTGTGTTTCACACTTGGCCAGTACAGTCGGTCAGAAGCCCATAATCAATGGATTGTCAATCAAGTGACATAGTTTTTTGACAGTCCAGCGATTCCACCGTAACTGTGTAGTGAGCACGGTCCAGCCTATGCCAGTCTAGCGCTGACGCAACAACTAAACAGGAACCACACGACGCTTATTTAAGTAAGAGAATTTTTATTTGGACTGGGGATTGAGAATCGCGCCTTATTTCCCGGTTTGTAGTTTTTATCTGTCAAATTTCTCTTGTTTTTTTTTACGATTTTCAAATCAAATAATGTATTCTGTAAGACTGTATTGACTTTGCCAAAATTCAAAAAGGCTCTCTATTGCCGGATATATCCAATACGGCTGGGAAAGAGTTACATATATTGATAAAACCTTAACTAACATAATTAGCGTTTGTTAAAAAGATGATTTCATCCGATAGCGGTTGAAATGATTTAGATAGCTAACTCATTGTTACTGTAATGTAGGTCACGACTCTAAGATTATATTGGACTGGCGTAATGTGGGCAAACAACGCCAATACAGTCCTTGCATTCCTGGGCAACTGTGAACGGCGCATTCTGTTACCACTGTTAATTGTTGCCAGAAAAATAAAACATAAATACAGGGGCGGCACGGCGGCACAGCGTCGCCGTGGTTGTTCGAATGTCGCAAAAATCCTAATTATTGTTCTTGAAAATGTTTTACATTTAATAAAAAAATGCCTAAAACTACTGTCCTTATTTAAATAGTTTCCCTAATTCAAATATATAAAAAGAAAGTCGAAAACGGCTAAAACTTGATGTCATAAATTTAGTAATAGGTATAATGCGAATTGAAAAATTGAAAAACTTGTACTTTGGAAATATCAAAGCGGAAAACATGCCTATACTAAATTAAAAGATTTTACTAAGCCCTTCACGCACTTCACGTTATTTTTAGATTTTTAATTCTTTCAATTTAATAGCAGCGTAACACAAAAGATTAAACTACCTGTTTAAAAAAAAACTAAACAGGATTTTAGCAAAAATAAAAGTAATTCACAAAATACACTGCTATTACAATTGAAAATATTTTATTAAATATTAAATTTTTACGTAAATCTGTTATGAACTAACTAATCGACATTCGACACCGATGCTGGCAATCTTTTATTTAGTAAAAGATTCATGCTGTAACAACTTCTCTAGAATAATGATGAAGGCAAAGTTTGTGACCGTTTGTAGATTTTGCATCCACGCTATTAGTTTTCTTTGAAAATACACATTCATATATTTAAACCGCGTCATAACTATTGCGCAAAAATGTATAGAAGTAAAAAGGACGTCGATAAACACGTGGAAACGTTAACATCTAAATTGTCACTAAAAGAGGTATGTAGAAAATACACGTTTGTGGCTTATATCTTGGTTTAATTGAAATTACTATAATGTCTTACTTTTACAGTTTAATAGCCGGGCATATTCCATCGCTCGGTTGTATTTCGATGTAGGGGACTATGCAAGTTGTGTAAAATACGTTGAACAATACCTTACATGCAAAGATAAAAATGCCGCCGCGCATAAACTACTTGGACAGGCATTTCAAAAGTCAGGACAAAAAGAAAAAGCTCTTGAGCAATACAAAATTTCACTTGATGTTGATCCAACACAAACAACTACCATCCTTGACAGTAAGTATTTTTCTGTATTGAGTATTATTACTTTTTCGCATAATAATTTGTTTTTTTTCTTATAACAAAATTGGATTTCTAGTCTTGTTTTATTAATAATATTTAAATCATAATTTCTAATCTATTTATAATGCACACTATGGAAAAGTACACAATATCTTGCTGTCTCATGGGGGGGTAAATTATATAGGTTATGTACCTTTATTTTGCTTAACTAAAAGTTCTTATTGGCAAGACTCTAGCTAAACAATGACAGTCCATAGAAGATATAAAGTAATGGAAATACAAATATTAAAATCTCTCTAGAAGTTCTAGTGATGGTTTTGATCAATTTTGGAACTTACTGTGGCTTTTTAAGGGGCATATAATTTGTTTATAATATTATTGCATTAAATCTATGTATGGACAGTTTTTGAATAGTTTAAACTATGTGGATCAAAATTGCAACTAAATATTTAAGTAATATATTTTGTTGGCACATAAACACCATATTAATAAAAAGTATAATCATAAAAGTAAAATAAATTTTGGTTTTAAGATTCATGTTTGCTAATGAATTGAAAGATATACTTTTAGTATCATTGTGTTATGGGAAACAGATGTAGTGTGATAGACTTCTATAATGTGAAAATTATTATAATTAATAATGAAGGTCAATGAAATTGATTACATTTTTCAAGGCTAACAAAAGACACTTTATTTTAGTTTGCGAGTTGCTAGCTGATGATGAAGTTACCATTGACCCCGGACGTGCAAAATATTGGTGTGAAAAAGCAGAAGCTATTTTTCCAAGACATACAACAACTTTTCGGCTTAGAGAAAAGCTTTTGAGTAAATTTAACCCTGATCCAGAAGCATTAGTTAAATTACTAAAAGCAGAGCTTCTAGAAAGGCCAAAGGAAGCACTCCTTCATGCTCATTTACTTAAACACTATTTGAATTCTAATCAAATAAAAGATGCATTTGTACACAGTTGTAATGTAGAATTTGACAACAATTTTTTTTCACTAAACAATGATTGGTATGAAATAATATCCCAGGTTTTAAAAAGTTACACTTTTGACTTGAAAGATTGGCTATACCAATTACTTTTGCTGACTGTAAAAGAGAGACTATGTCTCCTAAGTCTTACAGAAATACCTAGTGGTTCATCAAAAAGTTTGATTGAATGCAATGATTTACTTTTTCATTATGACCAAGCAATAGAAAATGTTGCTCGTGTTGGTGCACCCAGTGGACACTCAGAATTTCACTCATATCTTTTGCAACACCACAAAGGTCAGCTGGCTTTCCATACTGCAACTTTTCTACTTAAAAAGGCAAAAAAAGATCTAATAAATTGGAGGGAAAGTACTAGATTAGCAGATCCCTTAATGCTAATAGCATGGCAAATAGTTCCAATGGATTCTAAGGTCAATTGGCTTCACCATGCTCCAGAAAAACAAAAAAAGGTAGTTCAACGATGGTACATAGAGGGTAGCTATAGATGTTCACAGTCTGGGCATTATTTACTTTCAAATTGTCAGGATAAAAGTCAACTGTTTCTAGATCAAATATCACAATATTGTTCTAGCCCTGAATGGAAAGAAAAACTATACAAAAAACTTTACCCAATTAGTGAATATCAAGCAAAAATGAAGACATCTCACATTACATCCAATTCATTTAATATTCCTGCAATCAGGTTACCAAGAAGAAGTGAAGTTGAGGCTTATGATGACAATGCTCAAAGAGAATATCCAAATTCCTTACATCATATTGTTTGGATTTTGATTAATTACAAAAATTTATCTGATTTTAAATGTACTCTCTTTGACATGTTAATGCCTACTGTTACGAATAGTGGACCAGAAGCCCTCAGCAAAATAGATGTTTATGCCTTTGCTTACTGTTCTGCATTATCAGCAAAACAAAAACATAATCAAAAATTATATGCTGCTGATGATAGACCACACACTGTACCAGCCAATATTACTGATTTACTTTGTAGTCTTACACAAATGAAATGGTGGGATTGTGCTTATAAATTCTGTCAAAATGAGCTGGGTACAGAGTTAACAGATATCCGTGCCACATTAAGTGCTGGTATTGAAGTAGTAAGATGTATAGATAACCATGGCTTAGATCCAGAGCTTCTTTGCATTCTTGGTCGGATTTTTAGTGAGCAAGCTAAGCTAATAACTGAAGAAGAAAGAAGCACTAAATTAGAAATGAGAGCATTTCTATATTATTCAGCAGCAATACCGCTCTTGAACCAACTAAAAAACAATACTTTTATTAAAATACCTAAAAAGCGTATCTTTGACTATACACATTCAGACCTTGGATCTAAAGAACTTAACACATTAATTGAAGAATGTAAACTTTATGTGGCTCTTATACATCTCAGAGATGGAGAGTTTGAAAAAGTGATTGATTTGCTAGCCAATATAAAAAGCCCCAAGGCCTTTTATTATCTTGGCGAAACATACAAAAGAATTGCTTTGGAAGAAATATCCAACTCGAGAGAAGCTGGAGCTGACTCAAAGTGTATGTCATTATTAATGAAATCTAAACAGTTTGCTTATAATGCTTTGGATAAATTGAAACAAACTGAGGCTTTCAAAAGTACCAACTTATATTCTGAAACACAAGATTTGATTGGAGACATAGAAGCATGTATAAATAAAGTTGATCCAGACTATTCTACTCATGTTAACAACATAGAAGGGAAGTACTTATCCGACGAAAACATTTCTCTGATTACCAGTGAACAGTTTTCTATTCGACCTAACCATCATTTTCGCAATATCAGTTCTACACCTAAACATCAATCGCAAGCTAACATTACCAATTATCGGTCTGCAATAGACTCTCAATTATTAGAAAACAACAGGATAGATAATCAGTACTTAGAAAGAATTGAAACACATATAAGAAATTTGCAAAAAAAAGACTCAATGATTAATGAATTCATGGAACAAACGAAAGTATGGTTTAAAGAAAATAATACGATGGGAAATCAAATAATAAACACCATTCATTTGAATACAGAAAATACTACTGAACAATTTAAACTTCTTAAAATATCAATTGACCAAGTTAAAGGTCAAATAGATGAATGTAGAAACGAATGTAAAGATGTCGTAGAATTAAAGAAACAAGTGGCTGAGTTAAAGAAAGAAGTGTTTAAGTTGAAGAAAGGATCTTCTGATCAAGCGGTAAATGAAAGTGACTTGTATAATTTGGATGAAAACTATAGAACAACTGAGAGCACTTCAACATTTACGCCGCACATACCTTTTACACCATCTCAGGTTATACCACCTTTCACTCAACGTCTTGTACCTCCATTCCCAATGCCATCTAATCCATACCATATGTATGGGCAAAATTTATACAGTTTGTTCAATCAGTATTCTCAATTTACTCAACCACAGTCTGTGCCAGGAGCGCAATTATTTGACCCTACTAGGGGTCAGATGAACTACCCTAATGTATATCCAACACCAGATCAAATGTATCTGGATGCGCATCTTATCCCTCCTAATATGTCCTCTGCATCCACACTGCCATCTGTGACAACGATACCTACAGTGTCTACGATACCTGTGTTGTCATCTACAATTATAACAACTTCTGTTACCAAAGCTCCTTTGTCAACAACAGTTCCAACTTTAAAACCAACTAGTACAGTTGATATTAAAGACCCCTCGCGGTCACTACCGGTGAATGTAGTTATAACCTCATCTGATCCCTTACCTACCAGTGCCGCAATTCCTGCGCCAGTATTAAGCGTAACTGTCCCACCCCAGCACATCAAGGGAAGTCCTCATAATTATCAGATACCAATGCCAACTACTTCCGAAAATAGGGCTTTATCCCCGTCAAAACTTGGTTTTACGCAAGGGACGACTAAACAAACTGTAACTGCAACTTCTTCTTCCTTTTGGAATCCATCTATATTTGCCGATACTCAATCTACCGGTCTTTTTAATAGCACTTCACAAGAAAATTCCAACATAGTCAGCGGTGTACCATTTGACTCATCGCCCAATATTTCTCTTAACAAATCAAGAACATTATCAGAAAAAAGTAACACATCGGTAGAGAACTATGACCCTTGTCCGGACTTTAAACCAATCATACCTTTACCGGCTGAAGTAAAGGTGACAACTGGAGAAGAAGATGAAGTTGTAATATTTAGCGCAAGAGCCAAATTATTCCGATTTGTCGATAAACAATGGAAAGAAAGGGGTCTTGGTGAAATGAAATTATTACAGCACAAAAAGACTGGCAAAGTAAGAGTACTCATGAGGAGAGAACAAATTCATAAAATCTGTGCAAATCACATAATTTTGCCAGAAATGGAAATAAAACAAATGATGAATGAGACGAAAGCTTACTTTTGGGTAGCAAACGATTTTGCCGAAGAAACAGTTATATTTGAAAAGTTCTGTATCAGATTCAAAACTGCTGAAATTGCGAAACAGTTTTATGACACATTTGAAAAGGCTCGACAAGAGGCTATAGCTTCTTCAATAACCACCACAAGTGTAAATCAAAAGCAACCTGAAATTTCACAAACTACGAAAGTCGATTTGGATCAAAATAAAACCGTTGTTGGCGGTTTCACGTTTTCGACTACACCATCTTTTAAAACTATCAATAATGTGACTTCAAGTGATACACCTACGACCCCACAAACATCAAAAAGTAATATTTTTAGTACTTTGTCATTCAAATCCAACACCAGCACACAGTTTACTAACTTGTTTAATACTACAACAAAACAAACTGATTCAGTTTCACAAAATCAGCAACAAACAGAAAACACAAATAAATTGAATACTTCCGATACTGTTGAAGAATTTGAACCTGCAGTTGATTTCAAACCTGTTGTGCCTTTACCTGCTTTAGTCGATCAAAAAACTGGCGAAGAAGATGAAATTATTTTATTTGAACATCGTGCAAAATTATTACGATATGATTCATCAACCAGAGAATGGAAAGAACGAGGTCTTGGAAATATTAAATTATTGATGCACAAAGACAATAGTCAAAAAATTCGTCTTTTAATGAGAAGAGAACAAATTATGAAAGTATGTTGTAATCACGCTATTAGTAAAGATATTACCTTCCAGAAAATGCCAAATATGGATAAAGCAGTAACGTGGTGCGCCAAAGACTTCTCAGAGGGAGAATTAATCCCTGAAACTTTCTGTTTAAGATTTAAAACTGTTCAAATATGTGAAGATTTTCTAAAAGCTGTTATGTCGGCTCTTTCTAAAATTGATGATTCAAAATCACCTAAAGAGGGATCGAATGCTGATAAACAAATTAATCACAGCAATGGCGATAAAAAAATTCCTCCTCAAATTGATACGTCATCTACTTGGGGTGATAAGTTTAAACCTAAAGTTGGGAGTTGGGAATGTAAAACTTGTTATATCAACAATAAACCAGATGTAGCGCTATGTTGCGCTTGTAATACTCCCAAAGAACCCTCATCAAAAGCCGATACCAAACCAATTTCTAACAGCGGAAGTCAATATACTTTTGTAATGCCTAAGACAAATAATGCTATTTCTGGTTGGGGAGATAAATTTAAACCTAAGGAAGGTTCGTGGGAATGTGACATGTGTTTAGTAAGAAACAATAGCGACGTGACTGAATGTAGCGCGTGTAACAAACCCAGATATCAGAATTCTGTACCCAAAGAAAACAAATTAATTGATCAGAATGCTGCCATAAAAGAGAATAAATCAATATTTACAAACAATGTTTCAAGTCCTAAATTTACTTTTGGCATTTCTCATAATCTAAATGATGAGAAGACTGTGAAAAGTGAAACAAATTTGTTTAGCACGAATACCACTCAAAATTTTACCTTTGGCATTCCGAGTGTGATATCTTTTGGCGATCAAAAGACGAATCCTAACGTTTTCGGTGCACCCAAATTGGTTGAGAAAGAACAGCCTTTAAATTTTTCCATTAAAAGTGATGACTCTAAAGTTTTTTCTGCTCCGAAACAAAATGACACAAAAGGTTTTGGATTTACCTATAAACCACTGCAAACTGAGGATAAATCTAAAGATACAGAAAAAAGTAAATTTGTGTATATAGAGGAAGCAAAACTTCCTCCTAGTCCATTTAGTATTCTAAAAGAGGTAAGTTCTAAACTCAAGTTCATTTTGTTAATCGGAAATAGAACAATTTTAATCACATTTAACAATTATTAAACAATTTCAGGTTGACAATGTTAGTGAAGAAGAAAATGAGATTTTAATGTTTGGACAGAGGGCCAACTTGTACAAGTTCATATCGGGTAAATGGGAAAAATATGGAGTCGGCATAGTAAAAATATTAAAACCTAAAGAGAGCAATAAATTAAGGTAAGTTAAATTTTGCCTCATTTATTTATTACCTATTCAATGCAAATCTCCATTTAATGAATTAATATTTATGTTAATTTATATTTTCAGAATAATAATGCGACAAGACCAAGATTCAAACATTTGCTTTAACTATAATCTAACGTCTGAAATTAAATGCTCAGCGAAAGATGAAAAAACTTGGCATTTAACTATTAACGATTGTAGCGAAGGAGAATCACGCGTTGAAAACTTTTGCCTCAAATTTCCAAGTGCTGAACATGCATTGAAATTCAAGGTCGCTGTAGACATGGCTTGTAATTCTCAAGCCGAATACAATAATACTAAGAAAGAAAAGGAGACTGACGACGTTGTTTTCGTAAGTGAAATACTTGCCTCCAATGAAGACAAGCAAAGAGCTATAGAGCTTAAACTGCCTGAAAACTTTTACACCTACAAAAGTAAGCCCCCGTGTCAAGGATGTCGAGGTTGTAACGACGAAGATGTTACAAGTGAACCAGCTTGTAATTCTACAACAACATCGTTATCTAACACTACTGTAGGAGCGTCGGAAATCAATATTTCCACTCCCGCGGATGGTTCCAAACAAAGCCCAGCAAATACGGCTTATGGGACTACAGGCATCTTAAATGAAACTGCCGATGTTTCTATTTTCCGCACTCCTTTAGCATTTGTATCGAACACTTTAAATGCAAGCAGAGCTATTAACAAAGACAACACATTAACTGAAAAGTCTAGCTCTGGATTGTCTGAACAGAACTTGACATTTGGAACTACAAACATTTTTTCTCCTCAGCCATCATCAGTTACGAAAAAATCTATTTTAGCTCCACCTAAGTTAGATACAGTGAAAAGTAATATATCTACAGAAAATAAAAGTATGGAATTCGAAAATAAACCGATACAGACATCTACAGGTGTAAATAGTAACAAATCATTATTTGATTTATCAAGTAATAGTAAAGAAATGCCAAAGAATTCTGAAGTCAAATCTATCTTTGGAGATGATCAAAAGCCCATTAACCTCTTTAGTGGAATGGGTCAAGGAAGTATGTTCGGTCCATCCGCTTTAAAAACTGATGCACCAAAATTGGGTCAGTTTAGTCCCTTCAGTACTCAGGGTCAAACATTTAGTAGTTTTTTTGGGAAGGGGTCAAGTGAAGCAGTGACCATTAGCTCCAAGCCTAAAGATAATATAAATCAAGCAACAGCTGTGACGGAAGTGACATTAAAAGACAATGATGCATCTAAAGATGACAAAGAGAATAAAGTGGCTGGAGCCTTAAAAGTTGACAATGAGCTGTCATTTGCCGCATTATCTTCAAATGCATCTGGATTTAACATTCAACGTAAGATAGCTTTACATGTTCCTATTTATACAATTTTTGTATTTCACTATTATAATTATTTATTTATTAACAGAAAAAGCAGATTTCAAATGGGAAGGAGCTGGCCAGCAATTATTTACTAGTAAAGTGAATAAAGATAAGTCACAAGATAATGTTGAGGGCGAGTCAGAAGGAGCAGCCGCTGACGAGTACGACCCTCATTATGAGCCTATTGTTCCATTGCCAGCTAAAATTGTTGTAACTACTGGTGAAGAAGATGAGGTAAGCCCCAGTTGTCCACAAAATACGAACCTATTCTACGTTATCCCGATAATTCTCATATACCTAAATGATAAATAAAACATGTTATTTTAGGTGAAGCTGTTTGGTGAACGTTGTAAATTATTTAGATACGACGAAAAAGGTCGGGAATGGAAAGAGCGTGGCGTTGGCGAGATCAAAGTGCTATTTCATCCTAAACAAATGACTTACCGCCTTCTACTCAGGCGAGAACAGGTAACATATTTTTATATTTTAATTCTTCATTATAGTTAATTAAGAGTTTTAGTTTTTTACTAATTAACGTAACTTGTACATCCTTTTTCCAAGTATTAATTTAGCATATATTTACCAGGTGCACAAATTGGTACTCAACATGTTGCTGTTCATGGACTTGCAATTATTGCCTATGAAGAATTCAAACCGCGCGTGGACCTGGGCCGGGATGAACTACGGCGAGGAGAACGCCGCGGGCGAGCAGGAGATGTTGGCCGTGCGATTCAAAACGCCTGTTGGCGCTACTAATTTCCATGACAAAGTTGTTGAATGTGTTAGGGTAAGTAGAGCATAAATTGAGCCATTTAAATTAACATTCTTTATACTGTTTTTACTAAAAATGTTCATCCTTTCAGTAATAAATATAGAAATCATAAGTAATAGGTAACCGTTGTTTCAGTCTTTACAAGCTGCAGCCGCGGAGGCTATAAGAAAGGAAAAAGAAACCATGGAAGCAAAAGGAAAAATTGCGCCACTACAAGTTACCAGCGTCCCTCAGGCAGAGGTTGGGGAGAAATTGGTTGTGACGAGTACCCAAGAGGAAACAGAAAGTCCTGCTACCAGTGAAACCATCAAGCAACCTGTCATGGAAACTAAACAAGTTCATTTTGATATGGCTGAAGAAGGTTATTGCGTGGAAGAGGATGAAGGAAATGACTACAGGGAAGAGGATGAGGATTACGAAAATTATGAACATGATGACTCTGATGAATACAATGAGGTAAAGAACTCAATTTAAAAGTAACCTTTGGACGCCAGGATTTGGTTGTTTGTATTGTAACACGATTATAATGTTTTTTTTTTTTTTATTATAGGAAGAAGAAGATGAAACAGGAATATATTTTTCATGTGAAGGAGAAGCAATAGTAGAAAAAGGCAGCAACAAGGAGAGCTGCCCGCAGGCCAACATACAAGTGCTATTTGACCAGAACTTGTACTCGCCCAAGATCCTCGTGACCGACATGAACACAGGCGAAGTGCTTGCAGACACACTCATATTTATTGATACTGAATTCCAGGTAAATCAGTTATATTACTTTAATCCCCTTGGCTATCGTTTCAAAATGACAGTAAAGCATATCATTTATATAAATGATGGAATATCCGAGGAACTGCCTTGCAATCTCTTTGACATATTTTTTTTCCCCTAGCTTAATGGTGATTCGTGCACGTGGTCGGGTGTGGGCGATGATGTCAACAAGACTTACACAATTAATTTCCCGGACAACGAAACGGCTGTTTATTTCTACGATAGTTGCGAGGTAAGATATCTACTGTAAAGTAATACACATTTCTTGTCAAAAACATTAACACAACACTATTTCGAAACATAGTTTTGAAAGTGTCGCCAACCAATGTAATTATTTATTTCTTGAGTGATTTCGTAATTTTTAATTAACCCAAAGTAATGAAACACTTTTATTTTCAGACCAGTAAAACTGCTACTTGCTCTTCGATGGACAATGAATCATAAAATGTCAGAAATGTCCTGAGAAATAAAATTATAAACACGCTACGCTAAGTAAATGATTGATAGTATTCAATTCTATTACTTTGTAAATAGTCAATGCTACATTAAATCCATTTGTAATCTTAATTTTAAATTATTAGATTTTTGTGATGATTTGACGAATTATTTTTTATTAAATCGGTGTTATTTTACTCTAACGATAAACTTATTTGTTGTAAAAGATAAGAAGAATAACCAAGAGTTTTTGTAACTATACCAACATAACCATTGAAAACAGTGAATTAAATGAAAAGTTTCAGTTTTGAGACATTTAAATTCGAAGATATAGATGACTGAAGTACGATTTATAAAAACTGAATGCTATCAATCGCAAACTTGACTTTCATTTAGAAATAGCTGTGAAAATGGACCGCGAGAGGATGCTTGTGTATAGGCTTTATAGCGATGTGAGTGTCACGACTGTGGGCTTCCACTGTCTATGCACATATAATAAAATGTCATCCCGGTCATTCTTTTTGGAGAAAAAAGACAACAATATATCCATAGCTCCTACGTAAACTGTCTTAAGGCACGATTTTGATTTATTTAATGTTGTTTAAATTAACTTTATAAATACTAATTGCTATGTACATTTGAAAGTAACATTATAAAGAAGAAATGTAGATTTTGTTTTGAATGAAGAAATGTAGATCTATTGTATGTTGATTGATGCATCGTAATTAATCCTATAAATGTTTAAAGTTGCGACTTGCCCGTGCGTTTCGAACATATGATAATTTACGTAGGAGCCATCAAAAGTTTATAAGAGTACAACAGTGGAATTTCACGGTGAGGATAGCACTCAATATAATTCACTATTCGCATTGAAACTCGTAAAGACCATACCACTCGCGCCATATATTGCATTAATAAAAACTGTACCATTTTTTTACCATCTGGTCAGTAACCAGTATGTTTAAGTTAGATGTCGATGACATTTTTTTCTGCTGTATAATTATTTTGCTGTAGGTATACATTTAGTCATTAAGTTCATAGGCCCCTAACATTTCCAATTGGTGGTCATATAATTTCCCTTGTTTGTTTTTTAATTTTGTTTTTATTTGCAGTAATTATAAGTTATCATGTCATCAAGGGATCTGATCAATATAATCTATTGTTTTAGAAAAGTATGTCGTTGATAATTGTAAAGTGAATTGCGAGATTTAATTAACATCGTGATTTTTAGTGATATTGATCAGGTCTTTTTGTAATCTAGGTCATGCATGCACTGCATTAGTAGCGACATTTTATCCTTCATCTATCATTCATAAATATCACTACAATCAATTCAAAACTACGTTTATCTTGATAAAAAAATATGTGACGCATATTTCAATTCTAGACAATCTACTTAACGTGACTGGTCGATCAAGTATGTTATATACTTGTAGAAATACATAAAAGACATGTTTTTCGTAAAATGCTAGTTATATTAAAATCACAGGCAGTTTCATTGCAATATCTAGGTATTTTCATACAACTAGTATTATTTGTACTGTAATATCTTTCTTGATTCTATTTCATCTCTGCTTTTTCTAGTGAAATCTGTACATCATAATATGTAATTTGTTAGGCGGTCATTTGAAATAATCCTCGCATTGAATGAGAAAGGGATGATTGCTCGCTCGATATTTTTTATGAATCTGTTGTTGTTCTCTAATTTATGGAATATATTAAATTATTGACAGAAATAAAGAGTATTTCCGTTTCTCATTTAATTTGTGCAACTTTGTGAACATTGAACAATTTTAATCAAGTAACAAATTAAATAATTAAGATGATTTGTAATTTTTATTTTCATACATTCCTTTTTTTATTGCAAGAAGACAGTACACAAGATTTCAGACCTTTACACAAATACGTTTCAGTTGGAAATATCGAGAAGATCATAGGTAATACCTAGGCTAGATCTAAGTTTAGATCTTCTTCTAAACAACAGTTCAGCCGCAGATCCAGGGTCGGTTTAAGCAAATTAAAAAAATCTAAATAACATCGTACACAGCCTAAATAAAAAAAAAACATTTTTCTGTCTGTTGACAACGACAATGCCAAAATAGTCAAATGTGAAAAAACAGCTGGAGCTTATGTTCATTATGATCACTGTAATATTTAAAAGTTATCGCCGCAGATATAGCTTTTATTTTAGTGAGTTATGTAATCATTGATTAAACAATTTGTTGTAAACTTCTTAAAACGGAATCATAATTACAGGGATATTACTGTACGGATTCTTACTGTCTGTATTAAATTGCGAGATAGATGCTCAGAGATCTCAAGTCGAAGTTAGGGCTGTATTCATTGATTGTGAGCCTAACGTAAGTTTATAGTGCACTTATCAGTGCGATGCATGTTTTATAACTTTGCACACCGTCGCTGGATGCGAAATACGGCGCAGCTTAAGGCGCGAAAGAGTCCTTTGCAAATCGTTAGGGAAAGTCTTCGTGCACCCTGGTTACTATATAATAAATGTTATGTGAATTTAAGTTAAATACCCTGGCATCCATAAATTCGTTTAATGTCACATTGAATCACATTTTCTTTTAATGCTTAAAACAACCTTATTCACAGAACAGAAAAGGTACATCTGACGACAGCGACAACGCCCGATTTCAACGCGAGGAACTTTTCAAACATAACAATTTACGTGAATGTAAAAAGAAATTGGCTCTCACTGTAAAAATGACAAGTGAACCTGGAGTTAGTTTTTAAGTTTATATGTGTTACATATGGTCATTGGAACACATTCATAAGCTACCTATGGATATGATAAGTGATGACCTTAAAATAAGCTTTCTAATTTGATAGTCATTACTTTTTTTAATAGTGAAATAAAGGTCAGTAAATGCTTAGTACATAAGTGTGAATTTTAGACGAGTTCAGGCGATGAATATATACCAATAGAGCACGTATTCGATGGTTCAAAAAGAAAGCGCGTGCGTTTACTTGACCCCTTCGTACTGCGACTTCGTCGGGAGGCGCCGGTTCAGGCATACAAGATACATAGGATAGATGTAAGGGTTTTCATTTAATCCGTTTATGGATTGCATGCTTTTATTAATTTAATTTAGACAGTACCAACTCGTCGATGATAAAATTTAGAGTAACCGTGGTCTCCGACATTGCGCTCTACGACTTTATATATAAACCTCATTATGTAATATTTATTGTTGCTACCACGTTCCACAAACTATTTTTGGACTAAATGTGCTCAATAAAAATCCTCATAAGGAATTGAATGTACCTAATGTATGTCTAAATTAAATGATTATTTCAGACTGTGAGCGGGATATTATCAAATGTAGATGATGAACACGTCTTACGCAAAAAGAACAAAAACGTAGGTATTGATGCATTGCAGTCGGTTGTAGCTACTTTCCCTTAGTTTTCAAGCGTGTTAGGATAGTTACTGTAAAGGACTTCGAAAGTTTGAATGGCTGATAAATGGGCTTAGTGACTTTATAAAGTAAAAAAACTTTTTCAGGTTCATTTGGCATTTTATGCGTATTATTTATACATTAATAGTTCTTCATTAACCAGTATATCATACATATTTTTACAGAGCCGACTACAGCACGACATTCAAACTGCAGTCCATAGTTCAGATAGTTACAAGTATCAAACAGTGCACACGTTGGAGCGCAAAAAACGCGTCAATCCCTTTCTAAACATGACCATTGGTGAGATGTCCACCATACCTCCGTATTTACAAGGTACTTCTTTAATGTCTCAGAATACATTTGTCTCCTCATTGACAGGTTTAAATCACCTATATTTAAACCTTTAGCTAATTATGCTGAAAGTACACGTCTTCCTCTTCGCAGTATTAAACATCATCCGAGCACACTTCAATTTTTATTTTGGGCTCCGTGTTTTCTTCAATATCGCTTTGTTCAGTTGTCATATCGGTAGTGTCCTGGCTTGGGTTGTTGGTGGCGTCGCTGTGTTGTTCCGCGAGCGTTTCCTCCGCCTCGATGATGATAGCAAATATTTTTTTCTTCACTTGTGTTTGCATCCAAGGAGGCATCACTTTCGTACTCTTCAATATACAATTATAAAACGATTCTAGTGCGTCTGAGTTTTGTGGAGTTTCATTTGTATTTTCTATGTGGCGTCGTTTCTTGGAACAAACTGGCTTGATATCGTCTTCAGCATCTGTTGTGAAACATTGATCAGTCTTTTTTGTACTGCATCCGGGCTGTATGTTTTCCATTTCTATGTTTTCAGTAATTCTGTATTTCATATGTGGCTCGAGAAACTGCATTATCTTAGCGTACTTCCAAGTTGTAATATGTGCGGGGAGAAGCTTATTTTTGCCCAATTTAGCTCGCTTTAGTGCGTCTCTGTGGTTATCGCGAAGCTTCTTCCATTCAATTTTGGCAACTTGTACTAAAAATAAAATAAAAAACACCATAAATAGGTACATTGGTAGCGAATTTTTCTATGTATAAGAAGAATGTAAGTAGTGCGGAGCTGAATAACAAACTATATGTACAGGATGAGAGTGACAAGATGAAGGCTTAAGAATGGAGCCAGGCAACTGCGTCAATACTAGGCATATCTTAGTTTCGCTCTTAAAAAGTTAAGGTTAAATGAACTTGAACCCTTGAGCTGTGATCCAACAACTAAATTGGCTAAACGCGATGTTTTATAATTATACGAGCCGAAGATTTGCAGAAGTACCAATCATTGGTAGCGGCTCGTTACTTGTTTACACACTGCTCGGTGACTCGCAACAATAAACACAAATACAAAACTATACAGTTACAATTTGAGCTAAGCTGCGAGCCGGGTTACTGATCCGTTTTACTCATGCGAACCGTGAGCTGATCTGCTCGTCATCAATTCTGTTTGAGTTATCACTACATGCGTTTGAGTTGCACCTGTCGCTATCTCACCTTCCCCGCGTCACTACCGTCCGCCTATCCCTCGCTCCGCTAGCCATCAATGGCAGGTAGCCTAAGACTACATAAATGTTTTTAAAAACGTCTCCGTTACGTTCGCTTTTCATCCACACTTCGCGTTTTAAATCAAATAGATTTTTATAAATAACAGAGCTTGTAATTATTTTTAGGTTTAGCTCAGCTTGGTGTTGCGATTTTTACTACATTTCAAGGTAGTGCCACGGTATTGAGTTATTATTGAATTTGTTTGTGTTCTTTAAATAAGAAATTGTATTTGCACATTGATTCAAAACATAATTCAATAAAAAATATTATTGTGCATTCACTTACTGTTAGGAATTATAGATTCGTTGTTGAAATGTTTCACCACGCGCCGCCAAGCATTGTCCTTCACATTCATCTCTCTGTACTCTGGATGCAAAGGGTTCCACAGACATGGATGTTGGCGTACACCTTCTATGAAATTTTCCATGAATGAGATTATAAAATGTTTAATGATAAATACAATACGCTTTAAATTGATAACTCGCTTGGCGACACACTGCCGTGGGGTGACCGGCCTCGCATTGCCTCGCTACGCCTCGCGCGTGTTCGTTCCGTTCCCCCTCCGCCGCGCAGCGCTTGTCGGATTCCGTCCCCGCCCCTGTCCCCGTCCCCGGCTCGCCATGTCAACACCGACGCGACTCACCGGTTTTTCTCGAAGAACCCTGTATAACGATATCTCAGTTACCGGTTTACCATAGATATTATACCTGTAGAGAGGTTAGTGTGCGTGACGTAAATGTATACCAGTGTAATGAAAATAGTCCCAAATTAGGGAAAATCCAGTGAATGCAACTGAAAAGAAAATATTATAAAACATTTCCTAAATTGGGAATTATTTATTACTCTAACAAATACAAATTAAATTAAAACCCAAAACATTTTTAACAAACAAATATTTAGTTATTCATATTGTTATACAATTTTTAAAATATGGCGACTTTTTAATATTACAATTTCAATTTACTGACTTTATTAAAATTGATTAAAAATTGAAAAAATTAAAATAAACAAAAGAATAGAGGTTATATTCCATTGGAACTTTTAAGTGTATTTTGTATAGCAAATGACAACACTGGAGAAATTTACCGCAAAAAAGGCCTCCAGAAGACTTTTCTCGCTTTCGAATCGACTCACTCGAATTAGTTTAGGAATTGATTTCATATTCATAACTTTACTATTTATTTAGACTTTCCAAAGCTTTGGAAAAAATTGGATGCTCAAAAATATTTGTCTAGTTAGTTTAAACACATGAACATTACATTTTTGTTATTCAAATATACCGTGTTTTATTATTATAATCAATTTTCTAGGTCCTAATATAGTTTGTCGAGGTGAATGTAAGAGTACACCAACTAAACAAGCAAAGCGTCAGAAGAAACCACCTACCGCAGAGTATTTCGACGCGGACCAAATTTCGTATTGGAATATACATGATTATAATCAGATTCTTTTCCAAGATAGAGAAACACGTGATATCTTTAAAAAACGACGTCAACTCAATATGAGAAAAAGAGGAAATCATGGATTTCCTTACAACGAGAAACAAGACGATAAATACGAAATTCCAACATTAGACGATACAACATACGGTACCCTACAACAAGATAATTTTAATAAAAATTTAATCAACGAATTTTACGATCCGTACAAAATGGAATCAACGACATTTAATCAATTTTATTCAAAAGATGCTTTCGAAATAGATGAAGAAACGACAACTGAATCAACGAATGATTCTCCGAAAGTAAGAAACGGAGAAAAACAATATGCAGTTTATGAGATCGGTAATCCTGACTTGTGGTATACCGTTAACATCCAATTGTACGAAAAATTGAGTACACCAGAAGGAAAAACTGTTTGGAACGATATTACTAAGGAAGATGTAGCTAGGTATGTTCTCCATATTCACATTTGTTATAGATTTGTTTTATATTCAAGGTTTGAGAAATGTTTACTATGACAAATGACACTAGAGTAACATTTATTAAGTACTTCGTAAACTTTAGTGTGAGTACTCAACGCCCTGTGTGGAGCAACCAGGACATGAGTATCCAGTATCGACCTGCGGAGTGGCTCTCACACGAAGAGTTCGCGCTGCCCAAAACAAGCCTCTGTCTACTGATACCTATACGCGGCACAAATATAGCTAACTCGGAACATAAGTCAGATTCACTTATAGGTAAACTTTATAAGTTTAAAACATAATTTGGGCAAAAAAGTTCTGTAAACACGAAAGCTTACTTGCTTGAAAATGACCTTAGATAAATTTGGTGAATTCCTGGTGCTAGCAATAGATGACATCCTATTTGAAGATACAAAAAAGATGAAACAAAACTCATCACACGTACCTATGAGTAACGCATCTCAAGAATTTAAGGTAAAATAATCACATTGTTAGGAAGTTTCAGTTAATACAAGAATATTGTTTATTTTAATAAATTAAAACAATCAGCATCCGTATAGCGATTTCTTAAATAAAATGTGTACGGCATATGTATGTCAATATATGTTAGAGTCCTCGCCGTGTGGTTATCCGTGAGTCGCGGGCAGTGATGGGCGGCAACATGGAGAGCCTCATGTTCGCGTCGCGCGGCTCCGACCAGTATATGTTGATCCCGCACCGAAGGCCGCATCATTCGCAAATAGACGTCGAGTCTCGCGCAGATGGAAACCAATTAATTCACGTTGGGTAACAAAATTTAATATTTTGTATAGATTGTTGCTGTTATTTATAATAGATAAATAAAGCGATTGGCCACAATCCTACGTGACTTTTCAGACGGAAACGATTTCCTCGATCTAGTTCAATGATGATAACAGTAATTAACTAGATCTGCTTACATGTTGCAAATACATCTTCGAGACGTTCCGTACATAAGTAAGAATTTCGTAAGTGTGTTGTTAAAATTTCCTAACAATATTATGAACAGATCTTCTGGACGTATCATGACAGCCGTGTCGGACAACACGCGGCGAACAAGAACAGCGTTTACTTTACAAGTTACTAATACTGGTCTTGCTGCCGCTCGCTTTAGGTATATTTCCTTGTGCTAAGTAGTTCTTTATTTAAAATACTTAAATAAGTATAACAAACTTAGATTAGATTAAAGTTATTGTTTTATATAGAGTAGCGGCGCGCGACTGTGGCCCCGGCGTGCTCGATCAGGTAGGCTACAAGGAGCCCGTCGCAAAGGCTGTCATCATACCGCCCAAACATACCCAGCGCTTCCTGCTTGACCTGCCTTTCGAAATACCTGACGACTCCGCACATTGCTACGGTAAAAAGAAAAACGTTTATTAAACATTTTAACCTCATTAAGATAAAAATTAATACGGTAGCTACAACAATTTAAATATAAGGAGGGAATGGTTAAAATTTAAATCCTTTAACAACAATCGTACCATTTAATTTATTTGTTTCAGTAACACTGTTGAACGACGACGACGAGTCTATAGCTGTAAGAGACGTCACAATCAAGAAGAACGACCGATGCTATTGCGTGTGGCATTGCAAATGCGTCTGCTTAAGTAAGC